GGTCCTCACACCTGTCCCAGTGTCCCCTGTGATGAGCTCACAACTTCCAGTGCTATCACTTCTCTTCCCTACTCTCTTTACTTGTGTCAGTTGAGGGGTCTGTCACCTGGAGTGTACTCCGTGTTAGGCAGGATGGAGGGTCCTGGGGGTCAAGGGGCTGCAGATCCTAACTGGTGGTCAAGGTCATACCAGGAAGTGACCCTCTGCCCAGGGAGGTTCTGGGCCCCTTCACTTTGTGCCAGGCTCCGTATAAAGCAGCAGAGTGACCTGGCAGATGTACTAGGGATTCTGCCTTTTATGTTTAGCCAGCTCAGGGCACATGCAAGGGAGGCAGGTACATCTCCTGCCCAATGCTTTTCCAGAGGGCACTGATTTTGTAGATTGGTGGCCAAGGGTCCTAATGATTGACAAGTAAATGACTGTGAGCAGAGTCACTTCTGGCTGGCATCTGCCTGAATCATTTAGAAATCCAGGCTACCAGCTGCCCACCTAAGATCCAGATGCCAACCTGGTATCTCATTTTCCCAAGTTGCCTGAGAGGTGGGATAATGGCAGGTTTCTTTCTAGGATTAGTCTTGACAATCCCGCTGAAACCTCAGCAGCCCAGCATATCTCCAAACAGGTTGTTCTCCTGGCTTTGTTATGTAACTTTATAGAGGAAGACAATTGGGTTTGTCACTTGGTGAGTTCAAAGCCAATAGTATACACCACCAGGGGATAGGAGAGTGAGAAAAGGTTGGTAAGTTGCTGTGGTAGGGAGCCCTCCCAGGAAAACTGCCAAAGCAGTGTCGTCCCAACACAGAAGGCAGCCGGATTTCACTGGAGAGATTATTCATATTGGGAAGACTGCTCCTTACTTTACCTGTATTCCTGAGCACGTGAGATCACATTGCAGATCATGTCCTTTGTACATAGCATGGTCAAAAATGATGACTGAGAACATATCTGGGTAGAGTAGAAAACTTAGAATGAAAATATGAGGATCATGTGTTTTTGGGTTTTTTTTGTTGTTTGGTTTTTTTTTCTGGTTTTTTTTTTGTACTTTGGATTGAAGCAAATATCTTTATACTGTGCTACATATTCAGCCCCACTCTCTTTTCTGTTATTTCTTTTGAGAAAGGGTCTTGGTAGTCATTAGGTTCTCCTGGCTGGGCTTGAACTTTTGCTCTTCCTGACTCAGCTTCCTAGAAAGCTAGACTTACAATTGTCTACTATTGTGCCTGGTTTACAATATGATTATAACAAGCCAAGTTTATTCTAGGTCACCTAGAGGAGGCTGTTTACCTGGTTTAAACCAATTCCTGTGGTCTTCTGAGGAGGACATAATCAGAAATTAACAAACAATTTGAAAGGGTGTTAGGAGTCGGCAGCTTTATCTTCCTCCCAGCCCAGGAAACACAGGTTCTTAATCCTTTGGCCTCCTGCCTTGCATCTAATCACTTTCCAGAATGTTTCCTGGTAGGGAGCTCATAGATTGGGATTGCTGGACCTTTGTCTTTAAGGATCAGTATCCCTTGGGCCATCTTCTTCCTCTCAAGCTGTTCTAACCAACTACCCTGAAACAACTCTCACTGCCCAGACACAGAGACCTTCAATGACCTAAAGGCCTTGTACCCTGACCCCAGGCATTCATCACATCCTAAATCCCAAATCCCTGGTGGGGACAGCTTAGAAAGGGGGCTGAATGTGATGATTGTGCCCTGGGGTCACGTTCTAAGTCCTCATGATGGATATCTGTCCCTCTTTCATATCCTACCACTTGCCCCACAGGTCATTGAGAGCCTCAGCTGTTCTGATTTGGAACTGGAGCACAACTCCCCAAGCAGTGGATGTGGTCTTCCCCAGAAGACTGGCCTGAACCTGGTCTGATAGGTGTCATTCTCAAGCTGGAGGCCCAGGGCAACAGTGTCTCTTAGCCCCACTTTCACACAGTGCACACAGTGCAGTATGTTGGCCTCCTTTACTTCTTGAACTTGGCTCCCCATGGACTCAGCCAATAGTTTGTTCATAATGTGTGATACCCTGTTGAAGCTGGGCACCATGACGAAATCAGGAGAACAAGGGCAAGACCAGGTGCTCTTGGCAGCATTGGACAGCGAGGCAGCTCTTCTCTGATGTGTCTGGGCGATGTCAGGATGGCCCTCTTGTGTTGATCAAGGATGATCCTTGCCTAGTGTTGCTGATTCAGGGTGGTGGTTGCCACTGGCTGTGTCTGGCAGCCCAGATAGTCATGTGGGAAGACACAGACTGTGCCCTATGCCAGCTGCCCAGGAATCTTCTCAGACCGTTATTCCTTACTTGTTGCCCTGCCTGTTCCCACTGCTAAAGTTGAGGCCTTAAGGGCCTGAGCAGACATACAAAGGCAGTAGCTGGGAAGGAGACTGAGGACTCCTTTAGAAGATTGGCCCAAATTTGATTTTCATTTTCTGTTCCACTCAGTCATCACCAGATACTGGCATTGTGAGTTCACTTGTTTCCCCCAAGTGAGCTGATTCTGAGTATCTTGGGCACTCGACAAGCAATGAGCTCTCAATGTGTCCACCTCAGGTGATGTATACAGCAAAGTAGTATGAAAATACCTGCTCTTATTATAGGGCCAGGTATAGGATTGGCCATAGTCATTTGATCTGCATGCTCCTGGCTCTAGGGCAGCTGCTACTTTGTGCAGCAGGGTTGCCTCTGCCTGAAGGACAGCTTGCATCCTGAGGAAGAGGATCTCATGTCTATGCAGGTTTTGCTTCTCTTTGCTTTTTTTCCCCCCATGTGTCAGAATGTCATTTCTTTGTTAAATTTTGTTTATTATTTATTAAATTATTTTTATTACTACACATTTGTGGTGCATAATGATTACATTCATGGCAGGGAGTTGGTGCACTTAATGTGTAGAATGGAAATTCAGCCCTACCTGGTGCATTATGATCTATCAAGCATAGATTATTCTCCAGGTTGTTTGTATTGAGCACCAAGTCTCTGTCCCCAGGCATTAGCAGCATGAGGTCCAGCTCCATGGGGATGATTCTTTCTTTATGGCAAATGCAATGGTTAGCAACACCTGGTTTGAGAGGCCTATGTGCAACATTTGGCAAGGAATGGGCCATGGTCTCAAAGAGAGCCCAGAGCGGCCCTGTGGAAGTCATGAGCTGCAGGCTGTGTGTGGAGACTGATAAAATGGTTCTAGGCATTGTTGATGGGCACAGATTCAGGACAAGGAGCTGTCTGCAACTCCAGTGCCTCTTGCAGGATTTTTGGATGTAGAAGGAGAAGGCCTTACTGGAATGGGCTTCTCCTGCCTCATCTGCCCCACTCACTTTGCTAAAAGGTACAAAAACATCTGGGGCCTCTGTGTTTAAGGCACCAGTGTGAGATAGAGGTCCATGCAGAGCCTGTGGTCACCCCCCTAAGCTAGATGTCTCTGCAATGAGTGTCCCTCAGCTGGCACAAATGCAGTGAGTTGCTGGCCTCTCAAGGAGATGAGCCCTGAAGTCTATACTCCTTGACAGAGATATCAAATTGATCTAGGTTCTAAAGTTGATCAGCCAGACCATGGATTTTGGACTTTGTTTCTCAAAAATGCCTAGTGAAGCTGGTTGTGGTATGGAGCCTCTGTAATCTCAGCATTCTGCGAGGCTGAGGCAAGAGGATCACACATTCAGACTGGGCACTTTCACTACATTGTGAGATTCAGTGCTAATTTTTTTTTTAAATGGCTGTGATGTAGCTCAGGGAGATGGCACATACTGAGATCCCCTATACTGAGACAAAATTTACTGACTCGTAAATGGCTGAGTCAAGAGGAGACTGCAGTGTCCACGGGGCAACGCTGAAACAAATTCCCCCAGGAACCTTCAGTCCCTAATGTCTCTCCAGAATTAAAATTTCACATTTTAAAAGTAAAATTTAATCAACTCTAGAGACTGACCATTGATCTTCAAGCAGGAGAGGTGGGGCTGGCTGTCCTGTTCCTCTGTCCTAAGAGATGTCACAAACATCAACCAGGATGGATGGTCCTCATGTATCCCCCGGAGAGGCTGCAAGAGCTGCATTTCTCAGAGGTCTCCATGCAATTTGTGTCCTGGGTACTGTGTGTTCTGCTCCATGGGGGCCCTGCAGACCCCATGGATGTAAACCTATCACTACAGCTGCTTCTGTGACTGTGACCCAGAATCTTCACTGCTAGGGATCCATCTTTAAAACTGACACTGACAGCCAGGGATGGAGGTCAGTGGCCCTGCCTCTGCCTCACAAGCCCAAAGTCCTGCCCTGGTATCAAAAAATTTTTTTAAATGCCATTGACAGATGCAGGTGTTTCCTTCAGCTCTGCTATGGGTGTGAAAATTGGGAAAGAGTCTAGAGCAGAAGTTGCTGACACAACTGGTCCAATGTAGGCACTGCAAATGGTAAGGGACAGAGGAGGACTGGGCCATGTGCCCAGGGCAGACAGCAGAGGACAGGAGAGCTGTGCTGAGAGATGCAGACCTGAACCTAAGAAGAGGACACAAAGGAGAAGCTCCCAGGGGAGAGGACCCTGTTCCTGTGTAGGATGACTGTGTCTGTGTCCCTTCTTTCATTATGCTCCAACGTTGCCTTCCATACTTTACTGAAATAGGTATTTATTGTCTGACAAAAATAAGTGGATAGTCTACTGAATATGTGACGAGAAATCACTGGGATCTATGTAGGATTTTCCCTTCCTTAGACAAAGCAAGATGGAACAGTTGCTTCCAAGATTCTCTAGCCAAAGACCAATGTCATGGCAGTGCTGTGAAAGATGTAGAATAGCTAAATTATGGGGATATAAGATGAGGGGTGGCCGGGATCCAGCAGGAAGGGAAAGGGGAAGAAATGCCTTTTGGTGCAGAATTGAGGAAAATGTCTTGGAACTGGACAGTGGTGAAACTTACACTGTATGGTGAATGACTGAGAATGCATTGAGAATGCACCAAACTAATCATTTTGAACAAGACTAAAATCTTGAATTTTATTTACATTAATTCTCTCATTCACCTGACTCTGGGACATAAGGGTAACAATACAAACAATAATGAGTAAATCTGTAAGAGAGGGGAATGGCAGGTGTGGAGCTCAAGAGATGACACCAGCTGTGGAGACACCAGGAGTTCCAGCTCTGCAGCTGGTGGAGCAGGGCTTCCAGGTACTGGCTCTTGCTGTGGGGCCAGAGCTGCTGAGGGAGCTGCAGGTGGAGCTGGCATGAGTTCTCCAGGGGGGACCTCAGTGTGGACTGGAGCTGGTCCTGCAGTTGCAAGAGGAGAAAAGATCATCAACTGTCCATGTTCCTTCCCAGGGCAAAACTCTCTGCCTGTCAGAGACATCTGTGTGCACCAACACAGCCCCAGGAAGTCCTCCCAGGCTGCATCCCCACACTGACTGCCCAGTGTCTCAGTGTTCCTGGGCCACTCAGCATCTTGATGCCTTGCTATGGTCCAAGGCCCATCTCCTCCTCAGAGGCCCATACCAGAGTTCTCTTTGCCCTGGGGCTCTGCCTCAGGGGCCTCAGGGGGCTCCAACTGGTCCAGAAGTTCATGACAGGAATCCAGCAGGGAGATCAGCTCCAGTGAGGAGTCAAGGACAGAAGAGGTGGACCTGCAGAAGACAGGCAGGTTTTGCAGAGTGAGAGGCCTGGCCATTCCTCCCACAACACCTGCCCAGGGCACCCACCAGTATGAACATGTGAACCTGCTTCCCACTCTGTGCGGTGTCCAGCCCTACCAGTTCCCCACTGCCAAAGAGACAGTGTCATCCCCGGCAGTCCTAAGAGGATGACAAAAGATCCATGGAAGACACTCTTTATTTAGTGACATGTCCTCCTCCTTCAGGGAAGCCGACACAGTGTCTCTCTACCCCTGCACACTGTCAGGTCAGCTTCATGAAGACAGGGATTGGGATCTGCTGGGTCCTTGGACTCGAGGGCACAGGGCTGCTGCTCCATAAATGTCTGAGAAGTGTGTGGTCAGTAAGAGACTGAGTAGCAGTGAGAGTTGAGTCTGTAGCTCATGCAGGGATGTGGTCCCCAGTTCTCTGCCTTCCCTGGCCACCTTTTGCACTGATTGTATCCACATCTAGGGTGGCCAGGAGTGTGAGAAAAACCTACTTTAATGTGACCAATGCCTGTTCTGCTGCCCAGGCTGAATTTCTGGCCCCCAGCATTGAAACCCAAAAGGGCAGTGATGGCATCTTCTGTACGTACTGAGAAAAGTGTCTGCACATAGTATCACTTGATGTGTCCCAACCTGCTCTTCTGATCCAGGAAGTCCTGCTGCAGGGGCTCCATCAGGGTGTGCAGTAGCCCTGCCTGTAAGTGTTCACTGTGCAAAGCTCTGCCAGGCTCTCAGTTGAGATTGGGACAGTGGAGAGACTTGGAATTGGTGTCTCACCCATGACTTCTCAGGAGGGTTCAAAGCTAAAGCAAGGACCACACTCCAAATGGTCCACAGAGGCTCATGCCAGAGGGGGCACATAGGGACCAGGCAGAGAAGGAATTCTTATATTAAAAGTTAAATTTCAGAAGGGACACCTACAAATACTAGCATTATCAGAGCAGCTCATTAGCTGTGCCCAGGTTGTATATAACCCCATGCATGAAGAACAACAGCCCATGAGTCCTGAGACAACCTCCCCTATAGAGATGAGAAAACAGAGGCTCATTCTGGGTGGTCCAGTCATCTATGAGGTCACACAGAATGTTCTCATGTCTCTGATGAAAAGTCCCCAGGGAAGGATCAGGTCCGGGGATTCCTTAGCCTTGTAAGGCAAAGTGGCTGTGTTCACTGCCTCCTTCATACAACATCATTTAGTCTTGGCTAGGCCTCATCCTGGGACCTGCAGGGCCTGCATAGCTGCGGTGAGACAGCAAGAGCCAGAGAAAGGACAGAGTATCATGGCCTGATGTGTTGGGCAAGCTCAGCGCTGCTGATGGGATGACGTGTAAGAGCTGGAGACGGGGGAAGGACAGTTGGGGCAGTGACGCATGGACTCCTGGGCCCAGGATTTACAGTGAGGTCAAATGGCACAATGAAATGATGCCAGGAAGTGAAGTGACTTAGTGTCCCTGTCCCTATTCTGATGCTCTCACCAGTGTGTGGATGGGAACCTTGCACCTGGACAAGAGAGTGGCTGAGCAGAGAGGATGTGATGATGGAGGATCTGGACCCCAGTTTCCTTTGGGAGCAGGGTGATGTGTCCACTGTTTCCCAAGCCCTGCAGCTAGGTGCTGAAGGTTTTATCTGGCGATGAAGGTCCTCTCAGTCGTTCTCTGGCCCTCAGTACAGAATCACTTCTGCTCACGCACAAAACCTGCACCTAAGTTGGAATCTGCTGTTACTGTGAGGGCTCAGTGTTTGGTTCAGGCACATGGCACACAGGCCCCCAGTGACCAGCTCCACGCTGATGTCCTATACAGCTCTGTGGGTCAATGCCCAGCAGTTGGCAGAGAAACACGAGTTTGACCTAGATTATAGTTTGTGCTGTTTTTGTTCCAGGTAACCTTGTGCTCACAAAACAACAAGCAGCCCTGCCACAGGCTTCTGCCTCAGGAGGACAGGACATGACAATGAGGCTGGGGACCAACACTCGGGTCCTGCCTTTCTCCTCCTCCCAGCCATGCCCAGGGTGGGAATGTGTCAGGATCCCCATGCCTTCCCCTATCAGAACTTGTGCCTTGAGTTCCTGCCACGGACCAGGTCTTACAGAAAGAAGGATGCTCATAGCAGCACGGTAACTTCTGATTGGTGACAAGGGATGACCAGAATGGCCTGTGTGCGTCTCTTCCTGGCCCCAGGTTCTCCAACCCAGCGGAGAGAACATAACCTCCGCTGTGGGCAGTCCCGGAACTGCACCCAGGAGGGGAAAAAAAACACCACCCAAGACAGGGCTTTGCTTCCTGACTTGAAGGCCACAGCAACCAGTACAGTACCTGCAGTATCCAGGGCCATGAAGATGGATCCTAAAAACTTCCCCTTCCCCTGCTGCCTGCATTGCCCTAGGCAAAAGCCCACACCAATGCTACTTCCCCAGTCCAGGGCAAGTTTTCTGGTCCCTCCTCCACGTGAATCTTTGGGGCTACAAAAGAAAGGTCTTGTAACGGTTAGAGGGTGAGGAATGGTGACAAAATAAGAACCAAGATACACCACGTAGAGCTACAAGTTCCCAAAGGTCAACGTAACTATATTGTATCCCTAAAATGAGCCAATAACCTTAATGAAAAAAAAAAAGATGTGAAACTTGAGACCTTTATAGCTAAATGGATGCATATTAAGGCCTACTCTTAAGTGAATCAAATGGGTCAAATACTGAATGATTTCTCTGGGGTGAGAAACTGAAAGTGTAAACAAGGATCAAAATGTATCAGAGATAATGGGAAATGGGAAAAAAAAAGGTCCAAAAAAAACCAGGGGAAGTGGGATGGGCAGGGGACAGGAAAGGAATGAATATGAGAAAAGGAAAAACCAGAAATAAACTCTCTGTGAAAAGGGAGGGGTGGAGTGGTTGAAGAGAAGGCAGGAAATGGGGAAAAAAAATAAGAACTAAGATAGATTACATAAAGGTACAAACTCCCAAGAATGAATATCAACATATTTTATACCTAAAAGGTACCAATAACATTAATGAAAAAGTAAAAACAAGAAAGAAAGCAAGGCCAGTTAAGCGGGCAAAGGGTGATCTTTGTGGGAAGTGTGTCTGGACACAGGTCAGGTTCAGAGAGAGCCAAACAAAACATGATCTTACATCCTGATCATTGGCCACATCAAGATGAACAGACTAACAAAAACTGATAAAAGACCGAAATGTACAGCAAGAATCTGTGCCATTTTGTTGTGCTGTGGCTCACGAATGTGCCCCGGAGTCTCATGTGTTTGGCAGGTGTTTAGATCATGCGGTGCTATGCGTATCAGTGGATGCATCCCCCGGTGGGCTCCTGGCTGAATGAGCTGTTAAAGCTGTGCAGCTCTGTATGTGGGAATGACCTGACAGATGTCCTGAGGAACCTGCCTTTTGTGTTCCTCCAATCTCAGGACACAGAAATGGGAGACAGGTGAATTTTCTGCTCTGTGCTTTTCCAGAGCAGAAATACAGGCACTGAATTCCTGAATTGGTGGCCAAGGGACTCCACGACTCACAAGTAAATGACTGTGAGCAGAGTCAACCCGGCTGAATATCTGCCTGAATCCTTGATTTGTTTTGTTTTTATTTTGAGACAGGGTCTCACTATGTAGTTGAGACTGACCTGGAACTCACTATGTAGCCCAGGCTGGTCTCGAACTCACAGTGATCCTCCTGCCTCAGCCTCCAGAGTGCTGGGATTACAGGCGTGTGCCACCACGCCCGGCTTGCCTGAATCTTTATATATCCAGGCTGCCAGTTGTCTGGTTGGTGTTCAGATAGATGCCCAACTGGTACCTCATTTTCCTCAGTTTAGGAGGCAGGATGGTTGTATGATTGTAGCCAACATTAGCTGTGACAATCACTGTAATCCCGCAGTAGCCCACCCTATCTCCAGCCCCTCTGTGTTTCCAGATTTGATATGTAACTTTGCAAATAAACAGAATTCAGTTTGCAACTTGGTGAGTTCAAAGCCAATGTGCAACACCAGGGGACAGGAGAGCGAAGAAAGGTTTGTGACTTGCAGCAGGCAAGGAGTGCTCCCAAGGTTACTGTAAACCAATGTCAGTTATATTGGGAGACTTACTCCATCCATATTGAGAAACGTTGTTCTCACCTGAGGCAGGCACAGGCCTGAGCATGAGGGTCACATTGCTGATCATGCTCCTTTCTAAATTACAAGGTCAAAGGTGGGTGAGAACACATCAGGGTAGAGAAGAGAAGTTAGCATCATAATGTGTATGTAGCTTCTTTTCTTGTTCTTTCTTTCTTTGTTTTGATGAAGGGTTTCTCTAAGTCCCTAAATTATCCAGGCTGAGCTTGAACTTTTCATCTTCCTGTCTCAGCCTCCTAGAGTATTGGAATTACAGGAGTGCACAACTGTGCCTGGTTCATGATGAAATTATTACAAGCAGTGTTCACTCTAGCTCACTTATAGGAGAGGCTGTGTGGTTTGGGCTGGTTTAAACCAATACCTGTGGTCTTCTGAGGAGGACATCATCTGAAATAAATAAACAACTTAAAAGAGTGTGATGAGAGAGCAGCTTTTTCTTTCCCCCACCCCAGGAAGTGCAGGTTCTCAATCATTTTTTTATTGAGTTTATTGGTACATTTTAGGTATACAGTATAGCTACATTCATTATTGGTATCTTGTACCTTTACATGACAGGCCTTGGTTCTCATTTTTTCCCCTTGTCCCTGACCTCCCTTCATCCCCCTCCTCCCCTCCCCATTTACAAACACTTTATTTCCATTTTTTCAGTTTCTCATATTTTTTCTTTTCCCTTATTACCTTTCCCCTACCCTTCCCACTTTCCCTACACCTTTAGCCCTTTTCTTCCTATTTCGCATTGTCAATTATCTCATCAAGATCTTATGTACTATTATAGTTTTTCACACCAGCGAAACTATTCGGTATTTACACATGTGAGGTTCTCAATCCTCTTGCCTCCTGCCAGCAGGCAACCACATTGCAGAATGTCTCCTTGTGGGGAGCCCTTAGGTTGGGATTGCTGGGCAGTAGTCCTTGATCAGTGTCCCTTGGAGCATCTTCTCTCAGGCTATGCTAACCAACTACCCTGCGACAAGTCACACCCAGGACACAGAGACCTTCAGTGCCCAACAAATCCACCCCCGTGCCCACCATCACTGAAGATCTGTGCTGCTCTGACCTGGAACTGGAGAGCACAGGTCTCCAAGCACTGGGCGTTGTCTTCCACAGCAGGCTGTCCAGACCCAAGCCAATGGGTGTCACTACCTGAATGGAGACCCAGGCAACGGTGCTCTCAGCCCCACTTTCACAGAGTGCAGATACTTACGTCAATATGTTGGCCCCCCTGACCCCTTGTGATTCTCAGGTGTGTTTCCTAGCCTGGGTTCTGGTATGGTACACTGAGGCCCAGGATTAATTCTAGGTAATCAGTGACAACACATGCCCAACAGGACCCCTCCAGAAGGTGCTTCCCATAAACTCTTGGCCCCCTTTTGGAGCTGAGCACTCCAAGCTACAGGGAGAGCAAGGTTCTGGGGCAACCCTGGAGCAGGGGGCAGCGCTTCTCTGATGTGTGGGTCCAGTGACTCTGGGTGTCTGCGTGTCCGTCAGGGTGAGGTAGGGGGTACTGGTTGTGCTTTGCAGAACAAGGGGACATGTGGGGAAACACTGTGTCCTGCTGCTGCCTGCCCAACACCCCCCCATCAGTCTTTCTTTTGTTGCCCCCCCCCACTTCCCCTACTGAGTCCTTTCCTTGTCCTCAAAATGCCCTGGGCCCTGGGAAGGGATCCCAAGTGGAGGATACTCTACATGTGCAGCTCCCAAAGTCTGAGAATCTCTGGTGGTCTCTGCCATCACCCAGCAGGTGTGGTGAATGTCATCAGCAGGTGACAGCCATTGGGTAATGCAATGGGTTTCCTGGACCTTTCTGCTTTCCTCTTCCTCACCCCCTTATCCATCCCTGTATCTTTATTCCTTTCATGCTTGCAGGATCCCCTCCCCTGGCTGTCTTCCTTTATTCTGCTAATGCCCAGGTAGTTGCCCATTTTCGGCCATTTGCTCACATGGATGGCCACTGGAGCCAGGGCCACACTGCCTAGTGCCCAGGGCCCAGGAGTCCAGGGAGGCTGTGAAGGTGAGTGTGGTGGGTGAGGCAAGTGTCTGTTTGACCTGCATGGGAACCAGCTGTGTTCTGAGAGGCTGTGGAGTGCTGCGAGTTGCCCTGGCTCTTCCTTCTCAACCACACTGTAGTTTGATTCTTGAGGTATAAAGCAGGGTTCCGCTCAGTCAGCTGTCACTTTTTCCCACCTGTTTCCCCCACACAACCATTTACTGAGAAGGTCTGTGTAATTGACAGTGTGAGATAAAGGGGTTGGAAGAGCCTGCTGACCATCTCCACCAGACCTCTTCAGAGCTGCTCAGTCTTCAGAGCTCCTTGGGAAAGATATGTGGGTTGAAAAAAAAAGGAGGGCCTTTTCTTGCAGACAGCAGTTCAGGAGGAGCTGAGGGGCTTCTTCAATTGTCTGTTTTAGGCCCACCAGTGAGCCTGTATCCTGAAGTCAGAGCAGAGACAGAAGTTTTGGTCATGTTGCTAGACGGAGGCCTCAGGAGCCTGAGCAGCAGCTGTACAAAGGCAGGGGTTGGGAGGGAGACTGAGGACTCCTTCAGATTTACTTGACTTTGGTTCTCACTTGCTGTTCTATGACTCAGGCTTCGCCAGGATTCACTCTTCTCCCCACGGGAGCTGTTTCTGGGTTTATTGTGCTTACAGCACACAGTGAGCTCTCTACGTGTTTACATTAGGCAGTGCATAGAGCAAAGTAGTAGGAAAGGATGTGTTCCTATTACAGCAGTTTAGCCACAGTAATGAGAGTGACGTGATCTTGGCTTCAGGGCATCTATTTCTTTGTTTGGCTGACTTGCATCTGCCTGAAGGACCCCTGGCCTCCTAGGTAGAGCGTCTCATATCTGGGAAGGGTTTTGCTTATCTTTGCACATTTTTTCCATGGGTTAGAACTTCATTTCTTTTCTAAAATTTTGTTTATCTGCCAAATTATTTGTATTAGTACATGTTTGTGGTGCGTAATGATTGCACGCATAGTGGGGAGTTGATGCATTTAATGTCTAGAATGGAAGTTGGGCCCTCCCTGGTGCTCTTGGGCTGTGTCAAACACAGGCTGTTCTCAAGGTTGCTGGTATTGAGACCCAGGTCCTGCCCCAGACATTACCATCATGAAGCCCAGCTCCGTCTGGAAGTGTAGCTATCAAAGATCTGTGGAAATTGTCATGCGCACATGGCAGCCATTGCCTAATTCGGTCCCCTTTTCTGGTCCTTTTCTCTTTTTTCCTTTTCTCCTCCCTTATTCCACCTCAGATCTAACCTCCTCCTATGTCTCTGGGATACCCCCATGAGGCTGGCATCCTTGACTTTGCTGAAGGCCACCTAGTTGCATCACCTGCTGGGTGTCCCTGGAACGGCACAAGTGCAGTGAGTTGTGGAGCTCTCAAGGAGACGACCCCTGCCCTGCAGTCCACGTCTCATGACAGAGATACCAAATTTAACCAAGGTCTAAGGGTTGTCGGTCATGGCTCCCGAGTAGATTTTGGAATTTGTTTCTCAAAAATGCTTAGTGAAGCTGGTTGAGATGTGGAGTCTCTGTAGTCCCAGGACTCTGGGAGGCTGAGGCAAGAGGATCACACATTCAGACTGGGCAGTTTCATTACATAGTGAGATTTAGTGTTGAAACTTTAAAAATTGAAATGCCTTGTAATGCAGCTCAATGAGATGGTCCATTCTCAGATGTCCCATAGTGAGACAAAATTTTGTAACTTGTAAAATGACTAAATCAAGCGGAGTCTGCAGTGTTGACAGGGCAAGATTGGAGCAATTTCCCCTAAGAAACTTCAGTCCATGGTTCCAGAATGCTCTGAAATTTCTGATTTTAAAATGAAATGTAATCAATATCTAGGGACTGACCACCCATCTCCAAATAAGGAGAGCTGGGGATGTGTTGTCCTGTTCCTCTGTCCTAAGAGATGTGACAGCCGGGGTGGTTGGCTCCCATGTATCCGCCAGGCAGGGTACACAGCTGCATTTCCCAGAGGTCAGCAGCAATTCTGTATCCCAGGTTGTGTGTGTTCTGCCCCATGAGCCCTGCAGACCCCAAGGACATGACCATGCCTCTAACACTGCTTCTGTGACTGTGACCCAGAATCTTCCTGCTAGGATTCCATCTTTCAAACGGAACTTGAGAGATGCAGGTGTTTCCATCAGCTCTGCTATGGGTGTGAAAATTTGCAAAGAGTCTAGAGCAGAAGTTGCTGACACAACTGGCCCAATGTAGGCACTGCAAATGGTAAGGGAAGGGGGATGACTGGGCCATGTCCCCAGGGCAGACAGCAGAGGACAGGAGAGCTGTGCTCTGCAGACTCCCCATCCCACGGCTGAGACGTGTACGAATGAACCCAAGGAGAAAGACACAAAGGAGGAGCACCCAGGGGACAGCACTGTTCTGTGCACCATAACTATCTCGGTGTCTTTACTTTTATGATTCCCTTATGGTGCTTTCTGTATTTTACTGTAAGAGTTACCTCTTGCCTGAAAAATACTGCATATCTTCCTGTGTGATGATAAATCATGGGAATCTATCTAGGATTTCCCCTTCCTCCAATAAGCAAGATTGAACAGTAGCTTCCAAGATTCTTTGGCCGAAGACCAATACAATTGCAGAGTTGTGACAAATGTACAATAGGTAAATTATAAGGATATAAGATGAGTGGATCTAGGAGCAGGGGAAAGAAGAGGAAATATCTTTGGGTGTTGAATTTAGGAAAATGTCTTGGAAGGGGAGTGTGGTGAAGGTTACACAACATTGCAAAAGACCGAGAATGCACTGAAAATGCAGGAGGTTGATCATTTCAAACAAGACTAAAACCTTAAAGTTTATTTAAAGGAATTCCATCATTGCTCTGTCTCTGGGAAATAAGGGCAGCAATGAATAAAAGGATAAGTAAATCTGTAGGAGAGAGAGATTGCAGATAGGGGTGAAGAGCTGGGTCCAGGTAGATCTGAAGAGAGGACACCTGCCATGGAGCCAGAAGTTGCAGCTGTGTTCCTGGTGGAGCAGGGCTTCCAGGTGCTGGCTCCTGCTGTGGGGCCAGAGCTGCCACGGGAGCTGCAGGTGGAGCTGGCACGAGTTCAGCAGGTGGGACGTCAGTGTGGGCCGGAGCTGGCAGGGCAGTTGAAAGAGGAGAAAAGATCACCGACTGTTCTTGTTTCTTCCCAGGCAAAACCCTCTGCCTGTGAGAGACATCTGTGTGCACCAACACAGCCCCAGGAAGTCCTCCCAGCCGGCATCCCCACACTGACTGCCCAGTGTCTCAGTGTTCCTGGGCAGCTCAAAGCCTTGCAGTGTTTCAAGGCCCATCTCCTCCCCACAGGCCCACACCACAGTCCTCACCGTGGGGCTCTGCCTCAGCAGGCTCAGGAGGCTCCAGCTGGTTCAGGACAAGCTCATCCTGGGGATTCGCCTGGGATATCAGCTCCGGTGAGGAATCAAAGACAGAAGAGGTGGACCTGGGGAAGACAGGTAGGTAGCAGCGTGAGAGGTCTGGGCTTTCTTCCCATAGTACCTGTCCCGGCCACCTGCCAGTATGGACATGTGGGCCTCTTGCCCAATCTCCAGTGTCCAGCCACACCAATTCTCAACCCCCAATGGGACAGTGTGGTCCCAGGCAGCCCTGAGAGGCTGACAGAAGGCTCCGTGGGAGGCTGTCCTTGTGTTGTGTTGTGTTGTGACACCTGTGTTTCTTCAGGGAAGCCTGACCTTTGCCTTTCCCCACCGGCAGCTCAGCTCCTGAGGACAGGAATTGGGATCTGCTGTGTCCTTGCACTCAAGGGCACAGGGCTGCTGCATAAATATGTGAGAAGAGCAGGGTCAGTAGGCATCTGTAAGTAGGAGTGAGAGCTGAGTCTCTAACCCATGCAGCCATGTGTTGCCACATTCTCTGTGTCTTTTCTGGTCACAATTACACAGCTTTTATCCACATCTGTGGAGGCCAGGAAAGGGGCAAATCTTGCTTCATGTGCGGAATAACTGTACTGTTGCCCAGGGTGACTTTATGGCCCCCAACCTTCAAACCAAAAGGGCAGTGATGGCATCTGCTATGCCTATAGGATCATGGCCAACAACTAGAAAAGTGTCTGCACCCAGTGTCTCTTCATGCGTATTCATGGACTGCTGATACCCACCTGCTCTTCCTCTCCGGAAAGTCCTGCTCCAGGAGCTCCATCATGGTGTGGGGCGGCCCTGCCTGCACTGTGCTCACTGTGCAGAGCTCCGCCAGGCTCTCTGTGTACTGGGTTCCCATCTGTGATGAGACAGTAGAGAGTCTTGGAATTAATGTTCCCCTATTCAGCCTCAGGAGGATTTGAGTGTAAAGAAAGACCACACCCCACATGGTCCTGAGAGGCTCATTCTAGAGGGGGCTCAGAAGGGATCCAGCAGAAAACCGGTTAATGCATTAAAAATTACATTTCCAAAGAAACACCTGCTAATACTAGCATTATCAGATGAGCTCATTAGCTGTGCACAGGCTGTATGGAACTCCAGGCATGAAGAGCAACAGCCTAATTGTACTCAGACAACCACTCCTTGCAGAGATGAGAAAACAGAGGTTCATCCTGGGTGGTCCCATCATTTATGAGGTCACTCAGGATGTTCCCCTGGTTTCTGATGAAAAGTCCCCAGGAAAGAATCAGGTCTGGCTTCCTTAGCCTTAAGGCAGAGTAACTGTACTCACTGTTTCCCTGAAACAATGTCACTGAGCCCAGGAGGACTCCATCCTGGGACCTGCAGGGCCTGCATCAGTGCTGTGAGACAGCAAGTGCCAGGGAGAGGACAGAGTAGCATGGCCTGATGTGTTGGGCAAGCTCAGCTGCTGATGGGATGATGTGTAAGAGCTGGAGACGGGGGAAGGACAGTTGGGGCAGTGACGCATGGACTCCTGGGCCCAGGATTTACAGTGAGGTCAAATGGCACAATGAAATGATGCCAGGAAGTGAAGTGACTTAGTGTCCCTGTCCCTATTCTGATGCTCTCACCAGTGTGTGGATGGGAACCTTGCACCTGGCCAAGAGGGTGGCTGAGCAGAGAGGATGTTGAGGATGAGGACATCAATCCCGGTCTTTTGGGATCAGGACGCTGGTTCCACTGTTTACTAAGTCCTGGAAGGAGGGGCTGAAGTTGCTGTCTGGCTCTGAAGGTCCTCTCAGTCCTTCTCTGCTCACAGTACAGAGTCCCCTCTGCTCACACACACACCCTGCACCCACGTTGGACTCCGTTGTTATTGTGGGGCCCCAAGGCCTGGTGCAAGAACACGACATACAGGCTCCTAGTGACCAGGTCCAGGCCAGTGTCCCCTGTACAGTGTTTTTGGGAAAGTGCCCAGCAGTTCCCAGGCTGGGAAACATGAGGCTGTGCTAGACTATGGTTTGTATTCTTTTTGCCCCAAACATCCTGTACTCTCCAAACAGCAGACAGCCATTTCACAGGCTGTCACAGGCTCTGCCTCAGCAGGACAGCAGATGGCCATCAGGCTGGGGACCAACACTCGGGCCCTGCCTTTCTCCTCCTCCCAGCCATGCCCAGGGTGGGAATGTGACAGAACCCTGGGCTCACAGCCCCTCATGCCTCCTCCCATCCGGGAGGACTGTGCTTGGGACCCCATCCCTTCTGGTCCCACACAACACACTGAGGATGGAAGGAAGTTGTACAGAGGACTCACAGTAGTGTCCCATCCATGGACCTGTCCTGGACTCAGTGACTTCGAGCGGCTAAGGGTTGAGCCTGGGGACACCTGTCCTGGGCTTCCTCTCGCCTCTGGGCACTTGGGGTCCTGCCCTGTGCTGCCCATAGTGTTTGGGCAGTTTCTGGATAGTGTCCTGAGGCATCTGGGGCAAGTGAACCATCCTCTCACTCGTTGCCAAGTGTTTTCTTTTCGTGGGGTCCTGGGCCTGCGGCCTTGAGGTCTGGGAAAGCAGCACAGCATGTTCGCTGCTAACTGTCCTCAGCCAAGTGACCGGGGAGGCAGTTGAGTGCAGGGTTCCAAGTTCTGTTTGGACCCATCGCCAAGGAAGTGAGGTCACATGATGGGGTCCATAGCTGAGCCCACCCTCAGATAAACAGCCCCTTCCTGATAAAAAGCCTCCCCTTCTTTTCATAGTGGTGTAAATCTGTGTACTCCTTAGAAATAGCAAGCTATGATTTTGAACTTTGTTATACTTTGAAGTTTTTATGCAGCAAATATGATGCTTCAATGTGGCAGGCACAGTGTGAAATGTGTTTTTCCATCCAAAGAGTCAAGTTTCTCTGAAGATGTAGTGCTCAGTGTCATTGCTTTTATATTTAGGATGATGTTTATTATGGGTTTATTTCACTTCAATTCCAATAAGGGACATGGAGATGTTCTAAATATTTCCATAATAGTTTTCCTCAAAGGTTATAAAAATTTCAGATGTTAACCCCTGCATTTATAGGAGTGGGGGATTCACAGCCAGTTTTTTTTTTTTTGTAGCCAGGATCGAACTCAGGACCTTGCAGTTGCGAGGCGGGTGGTGGAACCACTATGTTAAATTCCCGGCCCGATTCACAGCAGTTTTAACTTTCAGGTGCATATCAATGACTACTTATTTATACCTAGATATTTAACTCAATCACAAACTGTAGTACCCCGTAGTGCGACAATATGAGGACCGATAGGAGTTGGTGGTAGAAGGTTACTGCACGGTGAGGGCTTTGTCAGGCCCTAGAGATCATCACCCCAATTCTGATGACAATCACAGGGAACAGGGCCCAGCCTGGCTTCCCTATGAGGCCCACAAGCACTTGTTGCTGTTCTAAATGCTCTGGGCACCTGGCTCATCCTCATTCCGTGGCTGGTGACTTCTGCATGGTTTTCATGGCTTAGATGGGAATGTCCTAAAGGCAGTGTCATGTACAATATTTATAAAGAAATAAAAAATGATGAAATAGGTTTCATGAAAATTAAGAATTGTGCCTTGAAAAACAGTGTTATGAGAATGAAAATATAAGACACAGATTGGGATAAAATATTTTCAAGTCATACATGTAAGGAAACTTTCACTCTATACCATATACAAAATTCTGAAAGTCAACAATTAGAAAGTTTTTAAAGATCGCAAGCTTAGGCAACAGGACTTGAAAAGACATTTCACCATGGAACACATCTGGACTTCACATAACAACATGAAAATTTGCTCATCATAATCAGTTATCAGCTAAGTAAATATCCATTCCACAAAGCGATATCAAACCATACATTTTAAAGAGCAAAAATTAAAAAGCCTGCCATACCAGGCCTTTGAAAGAAAATGTAGGAATCAAGACTCTGCTGCCTTAATAGTGGTACAATCACTTCAGAAAGCATCTTGGTAGTTGATTTAAGAGTAACACATTTAACTACCTTGTGATTCAGCCCATCCAATCCTCTATACGTTCACAGTCATTTAGAAGCATGTTTGTATCAGCTTTGTTTTCAATATCTGAAAACTGAAATGTGAACATTAACCAAGAGCTGAATGAATAAACAAACTGTATAGTAACATAATGGGATTTCACTCAGCAAATCACAGTAATAGCCTATAGATCAACCTGAGAATGATTATCCTTGGTGTAAGAAGCCAGACAGAGAGACCACATTGTACGCACTCATTGGTATACATTTCTAGACCGACATATAACAAAACAACAACATATATGTGTGACAGAAGGCAGGGCAGTCTTTGATCCAGAATGTGGTGGGGCAGGATAGAAAATCTTGGGATGGCAGCAAGGGTGATGGGTAAACTTTTGAGAGTGACAGATTTGTCCACTTTCTTTACTGTGTTAATGGTTTTATGGAAATATGCATAATATATAAAAACTTATCTAATTCTATATTATAATTATATACAGCTCATTTGGGATCTATTTTGTTTTAGTACAAACTTCTAAAAAGTGAGACACTCTATTGAGCTCCAAGCAAATTCTATCAGTCCCATACAGAAAGTGTAGTCCAGCACGGGCAGAGTTTATTGAGTTCTCCTTCAGTTGATTTCCATAGACTGTCGAGAACATGGCTGCTTCACATGCTCTTCCCTAGGACACAGTAAATTTGCAGAAAGTCTGGCTCAGCACATCACCACCTGAAAATGTCAATTCCCCACCGTAGTTGAGTCCAAGAGCAAAGAAGACTCATGAACACAGGCAGATATAAAACAAGCAGGGAAGGGATTTAGCTCAGTGGTGCCACCGCCTGCCTCCCAAGCACAAGGACCCGAGTTTGATCCGCAGTACCAAAAACAAACAAACAAAAACCCCCAATAATAACAATAGAGTACTTTTAGGGCTGGGGATTTATCTTAGTGGTGCTGCCGCCTGCCTTGCAAGTGCAAGGTCCCAAGTTTGATCCCTGGTACCAAAAATAAATAAATAAATAAATATAAAATAAAATAAAACCAAGCAGATTTTATGTACATGATAGGAGAAATATAATGTTCACTGAGGCAAACAGGTATAGAAAGGGGAACACCAGAAAAGCCTAGATGCAATGTTGTAAAACCAGTCCAGAGCTCACATCCACCTTGTCTGTGGCCAGGCTAGGGAAGGGGCAATGATTGAATAACTCTTTTCTACTCACCACGAGGAGGTTTGTCATTGGGCTCTAGACCTGAAACTGGGGTCTGGAGTGGGCACATCAATCCAAAGACCCATGCACTCATGCAAGCTGGAAGTTCCATGAATGCTACTGGGCCAGGTGTGGTGTAGTTAAAGACCAAGGTACTGTACCTACAGCTGTTCTTCCTGGTTTCACATCGAACACCATAACTACTGGCAATGCCTTGGTACGAATCACCTGTAGCAATCGCAGAGGCCAGTTGATCGGTTGCTCTTAGAGTTGTATACAGACTGGGATAAATTTATTCTTATATTTATATTTACTATAGAAAGATGGGCAATCCTTCCCATGGATTGCTTTTTGCAAACAAAAAGTTGAGCTCATCCTGAGTTGAACTTTCCCTGGTAAAGGAAAAGGGGACGAATAGACACTGTACACAACAAGGAAGGAGAAAGGAGAAATGAAACATAAATACAGGTCTAGGAGAATTAAAAGAATCCTGAAGAAAATATATTCAATTCTCTAGCAATAAGTCTGAAGATCTGGAGGAAGTGAATTCTCTAGCATCTCCTAAAGGGGACCTCAGGTGAAATTCACTGGATGAAATTTGTTTCTGTCACTTAATGGCTCTGTGGCCATGGGCCAGTCACTTAGCCTACCTGTGCTTCAATTCCTTATCTACAAAATGGACATGATAATATTCCTATATCTTGGGTGCTTATGAGAATTAAGTGAGTTATTACATGCAGAGAGCTGTCGAAAGTTCCTGACACACAATTAAGACTTGTTTTGTTTTGTTTTGGTACCGGGAATCAAACTTGGGCCCTTATGCTTGCCGCACAGGTGGTGGAACCACTGAGCTAAATCCCCAGTCCCACATGGTGAAGTCTTGGACATGGCAGTGTTACTAAATCATGTGGGCACTGACAGGCACCCCCAAGTTGGACCCCTGCCCAAGCAGACCCGCTACTCACATCCAGAGGAGTGCAGAGAAAACAAGAAGCCAGCAGCCACCCTGCTCCTCTCACCCCTGCCGTGTTTATCAGCCAGCCCCAGGCCCATCACCTGTTTCCCATGCTCTTGAGCAGTTCCCCCTCCCTTACCTAAAATGCCCCCATATAACCACAAACATCCTCCTTTCTGTGCCAATGGCCTCGCCCTTGGCCCATGTGCACCCAGACATCAGTAAACTCATCGCATGTTGTTTAGACTTTGCCTACCTCAGTGGTCTCAATTGTGCCTCAGTCTGACCTTATAGGCACCACTGGCTATTTGCAAGATAATAAACCTGGACTTCCATCTTACCTTATATAGAACATAAATTATTGATGGACTCAAAGTAAATTTTTAAATCCTTTTTAGAAAATCAGAGAATATGGTGAGAATATAGCAGGGGAAGCTGCTTATATCATGGCAGCCAGGAAGCAAAAGCAAATGAGAAGAAAAAAAAGCAGACAAGAAGGATTGGGGTCACAATAGACCCTTCAAGGTTGCGCCCTCAGGGACCTAATTTCCTCCCACCTCATAAAGGTTCCAACATCTCCAGTTAGCACTAGAAGCTGGAGACCAAGACTTTGCTATACAGGCCCTTCCACGACACTCCCAAACCATAGCGTCTGTGCACTGCACATAGTGGCAATTGCTGACCATTGTGAGAAAAAGACCTCCTCTTTAACAAAGTGACAATTTCCAATGTGTCGTGTGTGTTTTTGTTTTCTGTACATTATATAATAATTGAGGCAATCATAGGAAAAAAAACCTAATAGCCTATTTACAAGATGCTGAGCCAAAGCAAGAATGAGCTAAAACATGTTTATCACATTAAAGTGTGTTCATAAAACTATATTTGTGTGAATCTCACCAAGAAATAAAATTTGAAGTTGTGGTATTTTGGAGTAAGTATTATATTTCACAGGTGATAAAAGTGCATCGGTTATGTTTGTTACGACCAGGGAGAGCACTAATGACAAATAAAGCATGGCCTGGTGTGCCTGCCTGGCATGTCCCTGTAGCGTCCCCAGTTGTGCCTCCTCTGGGAGATTGGGCTGGTCTGCAGGGGACCCTGCAGCAGGGTCAGTTGCCTGGCCCAGGCATGTTGGGTGAGTCAGGCATTCCCGCTGCCAAGTGGCCAGGGCCTAACTCAGCATGACTTGCACTTTGCTGCACCCTGCCCAGCAGGGCGGTTTAGGCTGGGCAGCCCTGGCAATGCCACTTCCAGCCCTCTACTATGTTAAATGCCCCCCGGGCTGTTCTTTGTCCTTACTCAGCCACGACTCCCTGAAAGTGGAAAAGTCTGAGGATGAGGTGAGGACTGAGAACCTCTGCAGCACCCTTGAGGAAGGAATACCCTTGTTCTTTCTCACTTCCTCAGGCTGTAATCTCACTGCTTCTCTGACCCAAAGCACGGCAGCTGGCAGCAGATGAAAGATAGAAAGGCCCAAGGACTCCTTCTCTGAACTTCCCCAGAAGGTGTGGCTGGGTGGACGATGCCTCACCA